TTGAGAATAGGGGAGACATGGGCAACATCAGAGAAACATCCAGTAGACAGAAATTGAAGATTAGTGAAAGAGTGGGGATAATAGAGGGAGCTGTCTGTTGGAGAAAATGGGATGAAATGGGATCATTTGTGTATGTAGAGGGGTTAGTCTTGGTGAAGATAAAGTCCACCTCTTGTTAGACAGGAGTGATAGAGCAGATAGTGGGCCGGGGGCATTTTAGTGATGTGAGATGAGGAGGAGGAGGGTAGTTTTTTCAGTGAAAAATGAGGCAGTATTGTTAGATAAAAGGATGGGATGAAGGGGAGATGTGTGTAATTTGAAGAGACAAGATTTGGAGAAGCCACCGTGGTGAATGGGATAGTGAATAATTTAAGGATTTATAAAAGGATTGCCTTGCCGCAGTGAGGGTCCTGTTAAGATTACTTAACATAAATTTGTACTGGACCCAGTCATTAGAAAATTAGTGATCTTTTTTTTTTTAATATACCACTTTTATAAAATGGTTTATAATGGAAAAAAAATTAATTCCACAGTGGAGATCATACTTGATGGATTTTAAATTACCATAAACATTTTTGCATAGTATCAATGGTAAATGCCTAAATTTGTGGAAAATAACTTTTACAAAAGATTGTCCTCATGTTGATTTTTAAAAAAGAGATATGCTATGATCAACTTAGACACTAGTTGAGAGAAGGCTTCCCTGTTAAGCATTGTGTGAAAATCCTAGAGAAGGTTCCAGTTTTTCCCTGTAAAGAAAATAGGAATGTAGAACAGGAATCCTGTGTTCCAGTCAGACTAATGTCTTAATTCTTTCTAGAATATGCTTAGTTACATTCCTGTTTTGAAACTTCTTATGCTTTTTATATCCTTTAAAAGTTCTTGGGGGCAGCTAGGTGGCACAGTGGATAGAGCACCGTCCCTGAAGTCAGGATGACTTGTGTTGAAATCCGGCCTCAGATACACAACACTCACTAGCTGTGTGACTCTGGGCAAGTCACTTAACCCCAATTGCCTCATCAAAAAATAAAGAAAGAAAGAAAACATTCTTTCTCCATTTTTACTGCCATGTCCTTTATGATGCTGTTGATAGCTGTCTCAGCCTACAGTGATCATTTCTTTCTCTGAATCAATATAATCTCACATAGGCTAGCATTTATTTTTATTATTTCTGGTGGGTAAGGTACTTATTGGCTGGTGTAGGGGTGCACAGTCAGCCAACATTGATTATGTAATAAAATACTTAAAGATCATAACTCAAGCATTTTCCAGCTGAGAAAAGCTATGGTAGCAATAGACATATTACAAGATTTAGAATGTAGAAGAACCTTAATGATCGTCTTGTTCAGCTTCTCATTTTACAAGGGACAGGTTCAGAGAGATTAGTGACTTATCCACTATTGTACATGCTGATAGGAAGTAATTAGAAGAGCCATGACTCACACTCATGTGGTTGGACTTCACATCCAAGGCTCTTTCTGTTAGTCAAAGTCCCAAATTTAATCTGAGTTATAGAGTAGAAAATAAGTCTTAAGTGGAGGTAAATTGTTTATACTTAGATTCAGGAGAGTAAAACAGTGACATCAGAGAAATGAAGCAGAATGGGGGAGACCAGATTGTGTGTACAGATCCCGGTAAATGAGCTTTTAAGGTAGCAGTGAATGTTTATGACTGTGTAGTTGCCTTTTTACTTGGGAGAAAATATCTCAGGCAGGGAAGTTAAGATGCATTGACAAAGAAAAGTATTATATGGACACGTGGGAGACATTCAAGAAATATTTATTGATTAAATCAGTTTTCATGTATATGCTAGATTTAATGAATCTTGGCATCATATTCCAAGTAGAAGTTGTTGAATAATTAAAAATTATTAAAAATAATCTCAAGTCTTGTCTTCTTGGGGTTTTTCCCCTAGCATGCCCTCTCAGTGGGCTGACAGTTTATCTCTGTCTCTATATCATTTCAGTGATTACTTTTCCTGCATTATTATTTTTAGTTTGGAAATTTCATTATTCTCACCTCAGAAAGTCTTGTTAGTATGTCTTTTTTTTGGTTAAATTTAGTATAAGTAAACAAATTTGTTTATTTCCTATTATGTGGTTAAAGGCATTCAGGTTTGCTTAAGATTTTATTAGTACTTGAGAAAATTGTAGTCATTCAAAATATGGCACAGTTGAAATTTTATAATATCCTATTCTTTCCCTTTTGAGCCATGCTTCTGTTTGTTCTTCTTTACTCTCTGATGTGTCTGGTTTTGACAGGAATTAATATATATTTGGCTAGAGTAGTGGTACCCTATTATAAAATACTTGATAAGTAGCCGTGCAGCCTCTGCTTACAACCTCCAGTGATGAACTCAGTATCTCCTGAAGCAGTTAATTTCACTTTTAGGTAGTCTAAATGTCAGAAAGATTTTCTTGCATATGCATCAAACCTAAATTTATCTGTTTACAGCTTCCACTCTCTTAATTTGGAAGCAGATGACTATTTTCTGAGAGGTTTGCCCTAAAAATATTACTGACTCCTTTCTGATTAGGTTTCATGCACATAGAACTCCTCAATTGCTATCCTGTTACTGATATTCCAATAGTCTCCTAATTAGGGAGTGGTAGGCGTAGGGAAGGGAAAGTAATTTTATCACATTCTGGAATTTTAGTGATATCAAAACCGGGCTGGTCCAGGAATTAGGCTACATGGAGAGAAGACTGGCACATAACAGTTCAAGTGAGAACTCAACTACAGCAAGAAATAATAAAGCACCTTATATCCAAGCAGACAAAAGGTCAGGCCTCTGATTTGAAATTGACTTCAATTAAGTATTTATGAAGCACCTTCTTCATCTAAGACATTGTAGTAGGTACTAGAGATACTAATAAAATAAATGAGAAACAAATCATGCCCTCATGGAGCATACATTGTACTCAGGATGCAACATATTAACAGTTAAGCAAATAAATACAAGATTATTTGAGAAAGAAAGTAAAGGAAACAAGCTGCTGCTTTGTGCCAGGGACAGGGCAAATGTTATTTCATTTGATCTTCAAAACAACTCTAGGAAGTAGTCAATCAATAAATATTTATTAAGTATATACCAGGCACTGTGCTAGGTGCTGCAGATATAAAAAAAAGGTAAAAGTTATTCGCTGCTCTCAAGGAGTTCAGTCTGTTAGAATAGACAGCACACAAACAACTATGTATAAACTATATAGAGAACAAGTCAGAAATAATCAACAGAAGAAAGGCATTAAAATTACGAAGGATTAGGAAAGGCTTCATTTTGAAGGTAGAATTTTAGCTGTTGGGGAAGCCAGGGAGCAGGGGTAATATATGCTGTTATTATCCTCATTTTATAGTTGTAGAAACAGAGCTTAAATGATTTGCCCGAGGTCAAACAGTTGGTAAATGTCTGAGTCAAGAGTTGAGGTCAGGTTTTCTGACTCTAGGCTCAGTACTCTATCCACTGTACTACCTAACTGCCTCTAAGAGAGGGCACTTATTACGAAGAAAGAAGTATTTAAAGCAGGTTTCAGGAATCCAGAATAGATATGCAAGTATTTGAGAAATAACTGTGAAATCACCAGCTATTAAAATGGATTGTACATAGCCAAATGCTTTTGGGGTGGAGGAGGGAGAAGGCTTCCTATATTTTTCCTGTATTTGTCTTTTTCTTCTACCCCTCAGAGTCAAATAAAATTGGCTTCACAGTGTGTATGGGACTGAACTCACAAGGAGAGAAATGTGTGAGTGATGGGAGCAGAAAATCAGCAAGGCAGTTTCTTCCATAGTGTAATTTAAGGTTACAGAGTAAACTTTAAAAGTGTCTATCTCTTATTTTTGCCTTTCAAAAATCAGTTGGTAGGGACCACAGGGCTTGGAATATGATATTCCTGAGGGCAAAGGAGATAGGACTACAGCCAAGAATCACCTACCCAGCAAAACTGAGTATAATCCTTCTGGGGGGAAAATGGACATTCAGTGAAATAGAGGACTTTCAAGCATTCTTGATGAAAAGACCAGATCTGAATAGAAAATTTGACTTTCAAATACAAGATTCAAGAGAAGTATGAAGAGGTAAACAGGAAAGAGAAATCACGAGGGACTGAAGTTGTTGTTTCAGTTTTTTTAGTTGATTCTCTAGGGTTTTTAAATATATTATCATATCATTTGCAAAGAGTGATAATTTTGTTTCCTCATTCCCCATTCTTATTCCTTCAATGTCTTTTTCTTATTGCTAAAGCCAGCATTTCTAATACGATGTTGAATAATAGTGCTGGTAACAGACAACCTTGCTTCACCCTTAATGTTATTGGGAAGACTTTTAATTTATTCCTATTATAGGTACTGCTTACTCTTGGTGTTAGATAGATATTATGTATTTTAAGGAAGACTCTACCAATTCCTATGCTTCTAGTGTTTTTAATAGGAATGAGTGTTGTGTTTTGTCAAAAGCTTTTCCTGAATCTATTGACGTGACCCATAATCAATTGAGCTCCCCAGTCTCCTTTTACTTGTGTTATTTTCTTCTCTCTCTTCCTTCCCTGTCTCCCCTTTGTGTATTTTTTCTCTCATCTTCTCTGCCCCGTGACCATCACAGGGAACCAAAGAACTATAATTTAATATTTATTAGAATTGCAATATAAAATAATGTTCTCTGTTCATAATTTTAAAAACTATTTACTTAGTAATTGATAAAAATAAACATACAAAACAAAAGTTTTGCACTTAATTAAAAAACATGTGAGTTAAATATTTTATAAATATGGGGAATTACAGCAATGGTCCTTGATAGAGGGGGGGAAAAAAAGTACTGAGCCTGGACCATAAAATGTGAATGGAATAGGTATCAGAGGTCAAGGGCAAAAACAGGAAATCACTTTAACCTGAGTGAAAGAAAGAACTATGGTGAATCAATTATTGTGTAATCATTCTGTCTCTTCATAATGTTAATATAAAGAGAAAACTTTGCAATTGTATTCATATGATGCTATACTTTTCCTTAGGCAGAGAATCCTCCGGAGGGACCTGACTGTGGTTATGGATCTTTTCATCAACAATATTGGCTGGATGGGAAAATAATTGCTGTGGGTGTCATAGATGTCCTTCCATACTGTGTGTCATCTGTATATCTGTACTATGACCCTGATTACTCATTTCTGTCCTTAGGGGTCTACTCTGCACTCCGGTAAGATATCTTGTATTTTTGCTTTGTTCTTATAGAACAGTACCTGCGCCTTTATTTCTTTGTTTATTTCTCATCCTAACTTAGTCTTAATCCACTGTGGCGGGAGGAGTTAATTTACAAACTACAATATTTTGTTGGCTTAATGGTATCTAAATGTATCATCTTTAGAATGGATAACCTGCTTGCTAAGATATATGTATTTTTTATATTCCTGCGTTTTTTGTTTCTAAGTGTTAATATTTCTCCATTATATATTTTGACATTTCCCTACACATTTTTACAGTTTCTACTTTTGCTTTACCTACTCGGACAGAGACACTTTATCATTTTATTGTTTATGTCTTTGTTATTGATTTTGTCTTTGTCATTTTTATGATCATTATTACTAAAAATAAAACTTTAATTGTATTTAAATTCATTATAACAGTATGATTTCAGTTAGCCTAACTCAGTACTGTAATCTTTTGGGATGGTTATCTAGTATTAACAATTATACAGAATAAGAATGAGAAAAATTTGATTTTTGACTTAGTTTGTTCTTTTTGTTTCTTTTACTAAGGAAGAGGTGATGTCCTCATTTGCCTTTGGCTGCAGATATGTAGCTTGCCTTAAAAATGCTACCTGCAATATCCCAAAATACCAAAAGATGGAGATGTTACCTCACAAAAATCTTCGTGTTCCCTTTTCTGTGCCTTTTGTTTTCCTGTGTGCTTCTGTGCTGAGGCAGATTTCTGTGTGTTTTCTTTTCATTTCTCTTGTTTTCTGCTAGAAGTATGTATCTCTACACCTTTCTCTTCATCTTCTTACTATATAGCTTTCTCTTTCTTTGCCATTATCTGTTTTTCTCCCTCTTTTTTTTGGTTTCCCTTAACCTCATTCTCCCTGAGATCATGACATAAAACCAAAAGTTTTCTTATTTGTTACATATGTTGAAAAGTCCAAAGTACCTAAGTGGAACAATAAGTTAAAACTGAATGAAACAGAATTACTGAATAGAGTTAATGTGGCTCCTACTTGCTTTTTTCTTTGGATTTAGTGGTCTTCAGTAGAAAAAGAGTTACTCACCTGTGGTCTAGGACTAGTTTTAAGAGATGTCTTCTGTGTAGTGTAACCAAAACATAACATATTCTTTTGAGGTGTCCAATAAGGTTATTTCCCATTGTTATTAATATTGTACTTTTACAACTTTTTATCGAAGTATTCTTTTATGAACATGATTTTCAGTTCTCTTTTTAAGTACCTTTCAAAATCTCTATAGAACACAAAGATTTTTATGTACGTATATATTTTTATTTTTTTTAATTTTTAAATTATGTTTTGTTTTTTCCCAATTGCATGCAAAACAGTTTTTAACATGTTTTTAAAAATTTTGAGTTCCAAATATTCTCCTTCCCTTTCCTGGGACAGTAAGCAATTTGATATAAGTTATACATGTGCAATCATGAAAAGCATGTTTCATATTAATCATGTTGTAAAAGAAAATACAGACCCCCCCCCAAAAAAAAACCACAAGAAAAATCAAAAATAGTATGCTTTGATAAGCATTCTGATTCAGTCAGTTCTTTCTCTGGAGATAGATAGCATTCATCATGAGTCCTTTGGATCATTGTATTGCTGAGGATAGCTAAGTCATTCATAGTTGATCATCATATATTGCTGTTCACTTTGCATAAGTTCAATATAAGTCTCTCTAGGTTTTTCTGAAACCATCCTGCTCCTCCTCATTTCTTATAGCACAGTAGTATTTCATCACAATTGTGTACCACACCTTATTCAGCCATTCCCCATTTGATGGGCATCCCCTCAATTTCCAGTTCTTTGCTACCACAAAAAGGGCTGCTATAAATACTTTTGCACATGTGAGTCTTTTCCCTTTTTTATGATCTCTTTGGAATACAGAGCTAGTAGTGGTCTTGCCAGGTCAAAGCATACACAATTTTGTAGCCCTTTGGGCATAGTTCCAAATTGTTCTCCAGAATGTGATAAAGTTCTTAGGGTGGCAAGTATCGTCTTCCTGTGTAGGAATGTAACATTTTAACCTTATTGAATTCCTTATGTTTTGTTTTTTATGTTTACCTTTTTATGCTTCTCTTGAGTCTTGTATTTGAAAATCTAATTGTCATCTGTTCAGCTTTGGACTTTTCATTGGGAATGCTTGAAAGTCCTCGATTTCATGAAATATCTATCTCCCACCACTGAAGGATTATACTCAGTTTTGCTGGATAGATGATTCTTGATTGTAGTAATCCTACCTCCTTTGCCTTCTAGAATATCATATTGCAAGCCCTCTGATCCTTTAATGTAGAAGCTTTAATAATGTGGCTCTACAATATTTGAATTGTTTCTTTCTGCCTGCTTGCGGTATTTCCTCCTTGACTTGGGAACTCTGGAATTTGGCTGATATTCTTGGAAGTTTTCTTTTGGGGATCTCTTTCAGGTGGTGAATAGTGGATTTTTTTCAATTTCTGTTTTGCCCTCTGGTTCTAGAATGTCAGATAAGTTTTCCTTGATAATTTCAAGAAATATGATATTTAAGCTCTTTTTTTTTATCATGGCTTTTAGATTGTCCAATAATTCTTAAATTATCTTTCCTGGATCTATTTTCCAGGTCATTTGTTTTTCCAATGTGAAATTTCACATTTTCTTCAACCTTTTCTTCTTTTGATTTTATTTTATTGTTTCTCACTGTCTCCTGGAGTCATTACCTTCCACTTGCCCAGTTCTGATTTTTAAAGAATTATTTTCTTCAGTGAGCTTTTGTATTTCCTTTTCCATTTAGACAGTTCTACTTTTTAAGGAGCTCTTTTCTTCAGTGAATTTTTATACATATTTTTCCATTTTTTGTGCTTCCTTTACCACACTCTTTTTTCATGATTCTCTTGCATGATTTCTTTTCCTGGTTTTTCTTCTACCTCTCTTATTTGATTTTTTTCCTATTCAATGAATCTATTAAGTTTAAAATTTTTTAATAATAAATTTTAATATTTTAATATTTACTATCTATTCATTTAAATAAATTTAATTACACATTTAATAATATTTTGTTTTCCTCCAATTTCATGTAGAAACAATTTTTAACATTTTTTTTTAAGTTTTGAGTTCCAAATTCTATCCCTCCATCTCTTCTCCCTTCCTTAGACGATAAGCAATCTGATATAGGTTATACATGTGCAAGCATGTAAAACATTTCCATATTAGTCATTTTGTGCAAGAAGACTTGAATAAAACAAAAAAGAAAGAAAGTGAAAACTAGTATGCTTCAGTCAGTATTCAGACAACGTCACTTCTTTCTCTGGAGGCAGATAGCATTTTTCCTCATGAGTCCTTTGGGATTGTCTTGGATAATTGTATTGCTGAGAATAGTTAAGTCTTTCACAGTTCTTCATTGTATGATATTGCTTTTACTGTGTACAGTGTCCTTCTGGTTCTGCTCACTTCTGTTTGTATCAGTTCATGTAAGTCTTTCTAGGTTTTTCTGAAATCATTCTGCTTTTCATTTCTTATAGCACAGTAATAATCCATCGCAATCATATACCACAACTTGTTTAGCCATTCCCCAATTGATGGGCATCCCCTCAATTTCCAATCCTTTGCCACCATAAAAAGAGCTGCTGTCAATATTTTTGTATATATAGGTCCTTTTCCTTTTCACTTGTTCTCTTTGGGATGCAGACCTAGCAGTGGTATTGCTGGATCAAAGAATATGCACAGTCTTATAGGCCTTTAGGCATAGTTCCAAATTGCTCTCCAGAATGGTTGACATAGTTCACAATTACACTAACAGTGCATTAGTGACCCACTTTTCCCACGTCCCCTCCAACATTTATCATTTTCCTTTTATTGTCATATTAGCCATTCTGATAGGTATGAGGTGGTACCTCAGAGTGGTTTTAATTTACATTTCTCTAATAGTAATTTAAAGCATTTTTTCATATGAGTATAAATAGCTTTGATTTCTCCATCGGAAAACTTCCTGTTCATATCCTTTGACCATGTATCAGTTGGGGAATGACTTGTATTCTTATAAATTTGACTCACTTCTCTATGTATTTGAGAAATGAGGTCTCTATCAGAGATATTTGCTGCAAAAAATTTTTCCCTCAGTTTTTTGCTTTCCTTTTAATTTTGGTTGCATTTTTATTTATGTAAAACCTGTTTAATTTTATATAATCAAAATGATCCATTTTACATTTTATAATGCTTTCTATACCTTGTTTGGTCATAAATTCTTCCCTTTCTCATAGATCCAACAGGTAAATTATTCTGTGCTTTCCTAATTTGCTTATGGCATCACCCTTTATGTGCAAATCATGTACCCATTTTGACTTTATCTTAGCATATGGTGTGAGATGTTGGTCTATATCTAGTTTCTGCCATACTGTTTTTCATTTTTCCCAGCAGTTTTTGTCAGATAATGAGTTTTTGTCCCGAAAGCTTGAATCTTTGGATTTGTCAAACACTAAGATTACTATGATCATTTATTATGACATATTGTGTACATTCCATGGCTATTACTTAGCCAGTACCAGATTGTTTTGATAATTACTGCTTTATGATACAATTTGAGATCTAGTATGTGTAGGCCACATTCCTTTGCATTTTTTCATTAATTCCTTTTATATTCTTGACCTTTTTTCCTTTCAGATGATTTTTGTTATTTTTTTTCTAGTTCTCTAAATTTTTCGTAGTTTGATTGGTCTGGCACTGAATAAGTAGATTAATTTAGGTAGAATTATCATTTTTATTGTATTGAGTTAGCTTACCCATGAGCAATTAACATTTTTCCAGTTGTTTAGATCTGACTTTATTTGTGTGAAAAGTGTTTTGCAGTTGTGTTCATATAGTTCCTTGGTGTGTCTTGTCAGGTAGATTCCCAAGTGCTTTAGCACATTGTCTATAATTCTTTTAAATGGAATTTCTCTTTCTGTCTCTTGCTGCTGAACTTTCTTGATAACATATGGAAGTGCTAATGATTTATGTGGGTCTATTTTGTATCCTGC